AGAGGTGAGCCCGTTGAATGTAAGTGCCACAAGGAGAAGGAGAATCCCCGCTGATTTACCTCAGGCCGGCTGCCTCCGTTGTGGAGGAAACCACTTACGCTTCTCCTGCCATTTCAAGACAGCGGTTTGTCGATATTGCGGTAAAATGGGGCACCTTGCCTATGTGTGTAGGGCTATCCTACCTACCTCAGATACTGTTGTTAAGCCTTTTAATTGTGCCAGTTGCAGGCCTGTTAATCGCTGGGCATCTAGAATCACTGATGACTGTTATGTCATTGTCCCAGATGTGGAGGAAGATGAAGCCATCAACACAGCACCCGCCACTACAGGCAGCCAAAGGAAGAAGTACATCACCGTCTGAATTGAGGGGGCCGCTTGCGAGATGGAGACCAACACCAGCTCTGCGAAATCCATTATCGCATGGGACACCTTCAAGCGGCTGGTACCATTGTTTCCGGAAAGGCCCCTGGAGAAATGCCATTGCATTTTAAAAGTTTATCAAAATAACCCAATTCCTCTTAAAGGAAGTGGTAAATTCTTTGTAGAGCATGGCCAATTTAAAGGAAATTTGCCTATGGTCGTGGTAGCAAACCCCTTAGCGACTTTATTAGGGCTAGATTTGTTCTAAGCTTTGGGGTTAGAGATAATGAGAGTTCACACTACGCTGGATACAGGAGAATTTGATGAACTCACCAAAGAATTTTGTGAGGTATTTAATGATTCCTTAGGTACATATAATGGGTCTCCTATTTCTTTTAATTTAGATCCCAGCATCACGCCAATCAGTCTTAAAGTGAGAAGAGTTCCTTTTGCCTTGCAAGCTAAGGTAGATGCAGAGCTTGATAAATTGTTAAAACAAGGGGTGTTAGAGCCCGTAGATTATTCTAGGTGGGAAACCCCAATAGTAATACTAATCCAGTCAGATGGATCCATTAGAACCTGTGCCAACTATAAGGCAATGATAAACAAAGCCTTGCAAGCACACCCTTATCCAGTTCCTGTGGTTCAGCATCTCCTGCACTCACTGGGCCGAGGAAAATTTTTTGCTCAGCTTGACCTAGCTCAAGCTTATCAGCAATTGATGGTGGACGATACAACGGCAGATGCTCAAACGATCGTCACCCATCGTGGAGCGTTCTGGTGCCACAGACTCCAGTTTGGAGTCTGTGTAGCACCGGCATTTTTCAAAGTATTATGGAAAGAACACTGCATGAGATTCCTGGGGTCTTACCTTACTTTGATGACATACTTATAGCTGCTAATAGTAAGAAAGAACTGCTTCAAAAGTTAAGAGCTGTTCTTCAGCGTTTTAAGGAGAAAGGGTTAAAGTTTTTAAAAATCAAAATGTCATTTCGGAGTAACCTCCATAGAATTCCTGGGTTTCTACATTGATGCTCATGGCATTCATCCATCCCAGGCCAAATTAGAAGTTATAAAGAATGCTCCAGCTCCCACTAATAAAACTGAACTACAAGCCTTCCTGGGTTTGCTCAATTTCTACACTATTTTTCTATCTCATAAGGCTTCCATTGTGGAGCCTTTGCATAGACTGCTTGACAGCTTTACATCATGGAGGTGGGACAGCCGTGAAGTGCATGCATTCACAGCTGTCAAATCTCTTTTGACCTCTTCTGCCGTTCTAATGCAATACAATGAATCCCTGCCACTCATCTTAGCCTCTGATGCTTCTCCTTATGGTATAGGAGCAGTATTGAGCCACAGATGCCCAAATGCAGCAAGGCTCCTATTGCTTTTTTTCCCCACTCCTTGTCCAAAGCAGAAAGAAATTATAGCCAATTGGACAAGGAGACTTTGGCGGCCGTGGCAGGAATCAAAAGATTTCACCACTATTTATACGGCCATTCATTCCTCCTACAAACAGACCATAAACTCTTCTTAGGTATTTTATCCAGTGATAAACCTAACCTGCTATACTATCGCCACGAATGTTACAGTGGGTTGAATTCGTCACGGTATACTCATACTGAATGGAATACAGACCTGGGAAGCAATTGGGTCATGTGGACGCGTTAAGCCATTGTCCACTTCCTATTCGGACCCAAGACCCAGCTCCTGCAAGCACTATATTACTAATTGATGACTTGGAGTTGCCTCTGTTCTCAACCGACATTGCAGCACATTCAAAAAAAGACCCCATTCCATCCAAAGTATTAGAATGGGTTCATTGAGGGTGGCCCACTGGCCAACTATTCAAAGAGTTCCTGCCTTACTTTAGAAGACGGATAGAACTATCTGAACTTAAATATTGTTTATTATGGGGTACTAGAGTAGTGGTCCCTAACTGAATGCACTTCCATAATACAACATTTACACTTAAGTCACCCCAACATCACCAGGATGAAGGCTTTAGCTCAGGGGTATGTGTGGTGGCCTAAATTGAATACTGACATAATGACCTGGGTTATGGCTTGCCTTCCTTGCTAAACCTCTAGGCAAGCTCCATCAGCTCCTCCAAAGGACTGGGACATGCCAATAGGACCTTGGTCCCAGATCTACTTAGATTTTGTGGGCCCAGTCTAGAGCCACTCTTTTCTAGTAGTAGTTGATACCTTTTCTCAGTGGGTTGAACTCTGTTCTATGCAATTCACCACAGCAGAATCCACAATCTGAGCGTTGCAACATTTATTCATGACTCATGGCATACTGGACACTTTAGTGTCTGATAATGGCCCACAACTGACCTCTGCTACTTTCCAATAATCCTTTCTAGCTAGTTTAGGTATTAGGTATGCACTAGTGGCCCCCTATCATCTATCTAGCAATGGCCGGGCTGAACGAGCTGTACACTCTGCCAAAGAGGCATTAAGCTGCATGGGAGTAGGACCATGGGAACAGAAATTGAACACATACTTGTTTTTGCAACATACCATGCTTTGCCTATTTCAGGAAAAAGTCCAGCCAAACTTCTCATGGACCGGCGTCTGTGTACAATACTTGACTGTTTGCATCCCACCTACCAATCTGACACACTACCACAACTTAGTGGTACACAAACTTTTAAACTGGGGAAAGAGGTATTTGCCAGGAATTGTATTGAGGATCCTAAATGGGTTCCAGGCCAGATTATACAGGTAACCAGACCGTGTTCCTACAGGGTCTGGTTGGAAGATGTACATCAGTGGCGGCGCCATGTAGACCAGCTGCAGTAACACGAAATGAACCTGTATCCTCCCATCAAGCTAAGGAGTCCATCAAATCCTTCTGTTAGCTGTCCTGCTATTCCTGCGACCTACCAACCTGAATGCACCCCGGACCTAACTATTCTTCCATCTACAACCACTGTTATCACTGGATAGCTCACCTGAAAGTTTCAGATGCTTGGAGAGGGCAGGTTCTTCCGAAAGCCTCGATGCGTCCATGCCTTCCACCGGGGAGAGGCCTGAATGACAACCATCTCTGGTTGCAGCAGAGTCAAGGCATTCTGGAAGGAGCCATCATAGACCCGCCTACTTGAAAGACTATGTATGCACTAACTGGGTGGAAGGAGTGTTATGTTCCTATGTGTCCCACCCTACCCTGTCAATCAAGCATGTTGCAAGATGATTGGACTAAGTGTGTTTTGCATTCAGGCAGGAAATTGGAGTGTTGTCATTGGTTAACACGCTGACAGCTGGAAGTATAAAAGAGCTGTCAAAGCGCAAATCGTAGTCTTGTTCTTGTTGCTTAGTTGAAAATAAACCAGTTGCATTAACACAGAGTCTGCTTCTTGCCTCAGACGCTCAGTACGTTATACATTAATAAGTATTAATAAGAATACATTTATTTTGAGCCATGGTGGCACAGTAGTTAGAGTGCAATACTGTAGACTATTCTGCTGTTCGAATTTCACCAGGCTCAAGATTAACTCAGCCTTCCATCCTTCCAAATTGGGTAAAATTGGGCCCAGATTGTTGGGGGCAATATGCTGACTCAGTAAACTGCTTAGAGAAGGTTGCAAAGCACTATAAAGTGGTATATCAGTCTAAGTGCTATTGCTATTAAGCTGATGGAATTTAGTGGAAGTTTAAAATGCAAAAAGAAATACCAATGATATACTTTAATAAACATAATAAAATTGTTCTGATAATAGTGTTGTCTTCTTACTGACAATTATAATTGATGCTTATTGTCTGCCTGGTGTAAGGTTGTTTATTTCATATTTCTCAAAAGAATGATAAAGACTTTAACAGTAATTGTCTGAATGTTTAAAGGTAATTTATCATATTGGTAATTAATATTCACAGCAGAGAGCCTAACTTATGACATGGTGGCTCAATCAGTGCACATTTACACATTTATAGAGATAAATCATAGAATATCTAAAACTCTTTTGTTTTGGTGCAGCTAGATTTATACTTAATTAATTGCCTATGTGGTCCATTCACCTTGTTTTCAGGGAAGGAATGGAAGATAACAGAATAATTGAGTTGGAAGGGACTTTGGTTGTCTTCTAGTCCAGCTCCCTGCTCAGATAAGAAACCTATACCATTTCAGACACATGATTGTCCAACCTCTTAAAAACTTCCAGTGATGGAGCATCTACAACGTCTGGAGGCAAGTTGTTCCATTGATTAATTGTTTTAATTGTTAGGAAATTTCTCCAAAACAGAAATCCCATGGATAATTAATTAACACAAGAATCACATTTGGGTTTAGGAGACTGTTGCATTTATAACTTCTTATGTAAACCAGAAGATTAATATCTATCAACACTATTTAAGTGCTTGTGGAGAGTTCCAGTGTATACTGAATGCCAAGTTTTCTGCAATAATTTAGAGATATAGCAATAGTAAGGATTACGACTGCTATGATGTTGATATTCACTTAAGGTAGGTAAGTTCCATCCTCTTCAGGACTATTTTTGAAATTAGAATGTGAAAACATCAAATGGGCTTATATGATTCATTAAAAAATAATATGATTGGTATTGTTTTGGTTTATTGTCATGCATGAATTCAATCCATGTTAATCTATATTACCCCCAATATCCAAAACCAGGATGAATACATATGACAAAAACCAATTGTAGTCATCCCGGATCCCTATATATTTTTGGAAGAAGATCTTGAAAACTGATGTTTAATGTGAATTTGAACATATGGACAAATGCTATTTGCATAAGACCTCTGGTGAGGCTAGTCTTCATGTTGCACTAGATTCACTAAGAAACTCAATTCAAAGACTGTGTCCTAGACAGAGAGAGGAAGGGAGGAAGGGAGGGAGGGAGAACAGAAGGAAGGAAGGAAGGAAGAACGAAAGAAAGAAAGAAAGAAAGAAAGAAAAAAGAAAGAAAGAAAAGCAGCATGGATAGCACTCTGGGCTCAAGATATTTAGTTCATTTAATCAACCATTGTAATATTTTATTAAAAATGTAGTAACATTTTTTAAAAAAATCTTTTGTTAGCTAATTGTAACTAAACTACTTTGTCAATATCCACTGTATGTGAAGTTCTATTTTATTTTGGAAGGATTTGTGGATGTTGTATCATCACAACTAACTCACTGTTAATATATTTCCTGTAATGCTCATTTTTTGCAGGCCTTTAGAGACTCACAGGGGGAAAAAGATGAAGAAAGGATGCCTTCTGAGGTCAGTCAGTTTTATGATTTCATTTATTACCTAATAGCCAGAAAGGTAGGTGGAATGATGTCATGGTTCACTTAGGATGACATTCTGATTTAAATTGCAAGCTATTTTTTGAAGTAGAATTTACTTAAGTATCTAGCTAAAAATTTAGATTATTTTTCTTTATATTCTCCTTTTGCATGAAATTTGGTGAGCTGAAACAATGTTGGGTGCAGAGAAAAGAAATGATGCTGTCATTGCAGAATTCATCCTCTTAGTTTTTGGGGAATTCTGCTGAACTGCAGCCTCTGAATTTCTTCCTCTTCATAGTGATTTGTCTTGTGACAATAATTGGGAATCTTCTCATCATTGTGCTAGTTGTGACTGACTGGCATTTTCACACCATCAAATATTTTCACGGATAATTTGTTCTGCTTAGAGACCAGCTGTTCTTCAAGAATCCTACCAAAATATTAGCTATTTTTTTGAATGGAGACAGTACTATTATTGGGATTCAGTATCTAGTCCAATATTGTTTCTTTGCCACTTCTTTAGATATAGGAATATGACTTTCAAGGAAAAGGATCCTAGTATTATAGAATGACTTATTTCATCTTGAGCACAGTTTAGAAATCTACGGAGAATTGATAGGAGTCATATTTGGGAGTAGAAAAATAAATGGAAATGCTTGATCCTACAAATTGTTCTGCATTATTTGCATATTCTGTGTCTTCTATTTTTCCAAAATAGATATGAGGGAAAAAGGATTTTGCACCAGCAATATTTCAACTGTAATTAAAATCCTGCATAAAATATGGGTACATAAAAGCTATCAATCTTTTTAAGATACTATTAAAATTTTATGAAACTAATAAGAAAATAATATTTCTTAACTCTGTCATCATCTACTTCTTGTTATATATTGTAGATAATAGATCTGAATGACATTTGATGCATGGAAAACATTTTGGATACAAAAAAAGAAAACCAGACAAGCATCACAGAATTTATCCTTCTGGGTTTTGGGAATCTCCAAGAACTGCAGCCTCTCCTTTTCTGCTTCTTCTTGATGATTTATCTGATGACAATAATTGGAAATATCCTCATCTTCCTGCTTGTTATGGCTGATCAGCTCCTTCATACTCCAATGTACTTCTTCCTGGCAAATTTATCATTTCTGGATACCTGTTATAGCTCTACCTTGCTGCCTAAAATGTTGTCAAACTTTCTGAGTGCTGAGAAAACTATTACTGTGAATGGATGTCTAGCTCAATATCATTTCTTTTGTCTTAGTGGAGCTACAGAAGCATATCTTTTGGCTGTAATGTCATATGATCGCTATTCAGCAATTTGTAGACCTCTGTTCTACCCTTCTATTATGAATAAGAATTTTTGTTTCCAGCTTATTGCTGGGACTTGGATAAGTAGTATGACATTTAATGCTGTTCTGGTGGCTCTCGTGGCTCAGTTATCTTTCTGTGGACCAAATGTCATAGACCATTACTTTTGTGATTTACATCCACTGATAAAAATGTCTTGTAGTGACACAACTTTATTTGAACTCTTTACTTTTTGCATGACCATCATTTTCACAATTCCTCCATTTCTTTTGACTCTCACCTCTTACATTTGCATCATTGTCAGTATCATCAAAATAAATTCCACCATTGGAAGGCAAAAAGCCTTCTCAACCTGCTCCTCTCACCTCTTGGTAGTATGCCTTTTCTATGGCACATCAGTCATTGTCTATACATTGCCAGATACCTCCTCCCTAAAACACCTCAACAAAATCATTTCCGTTTTCTATACTGTTGTAACTCCTCTGCTCAATCCACTTATCTATTCTTTAAGAAACAAAGACATTCACAAAGCGCTAGGGCGATTTTTAAATAAAGTGTTAAATTTTGGCATGAATCACCCAAAGCTGTAAATTTATTTTCAGTTCATTAGATAGTCATATTTAAATATAAGTGTAGTGGAACTCTGGTATTGATATTATCTAATTTGTTTAGCAATAGCACTTATATACCACTTCACAGTGCTTTACAGCTCTTTCTAAGTGGTTTACAGAATCAGCATGTTGCCCCCAACAATCTGGGTCTTCATTTTACCAACACAGAAGGATGGAAGGCTAAGTCAAGCTTGAGCCAGTGAGACTTGAACTCCTGGAGTGAGCAGTGAGTTAGTCCTGTAGTACTGCATTCTAACCACTGCACCACCATGGCTGCATTTCCTGAGGTTTCAGAGTGAGTTCATAATCCATTACAAAGTTTAGGAGTTTTTATTTATACTTCAGAGCTTATACTATCTTTTTGAGTTGGGTTTTAATAGTTTTTTTTTCTTTTAGCATAGCACTTGCTTGAAAAGCTATTTATATAGGTAGTCCTCAATGATTGGTTGCTTAGCAACTCTTTGAAATTATTCAAACAGAGAATTACTATCCCAGAATTACTACCTGGTTTCAATGGACCAGACTCTCGTTCATGTGATTGCATTTTGTGCAATTGGCAACCAGCTCATATTTACATTCATTTGAGCATCCCACAGACACATTATCAATTTTTTAGCATTTTTTCCAGTTTCCAACGTTTACTTCTGGTTTTCAGGGGAAAAAATGGCAATTGAAGAAAATTGATTCATTTAACAATCACAGTGTTTGTTTAACAATCATGGCATTCACTTAATAATTGCAGCATTTATTGAACAACCACTACAAAAAAAAAGGGGTATAACATTAGGCATGGCTATCTGGTGAACCATTTAACAACTGCCATGATTTATGATTCTAATTTTGGGCTCATCATACAGTTATAAGTTGAAGACAATCTGCACTGTATTTGTATTAGAAAGTATACATTTTTCTCTAATATCTTATGTTGAATATAATATTTATGTGGGCTAGTTTAATATATTTGAATTATCCTGGATTTTTCATGTAATCCTAAAAATAAATGATTCACTAAAATTATTCTTAATAAAGCCTAGAAAGTTAAATTTACTATTATGCCAACTATTATCAATCTTTAATAATCTATAAGTATCAGAGATCATTCGCCTTGGAAACAGTGGTGAGTTTGTATCTGTTTCACTACAGTTTGCTCATGCACTCTCTGTCTTGCGCACAATGCTTCTGTGCATTTGCAGAAGTGTGCAGGCAAATGGGCAGAGCGTGCCACCACTACTGATTTAGCCAAACCAGGCTGAACTTGGAACAACTCACCTCTGCTTGGAAAGATTTGAAAAATTTCTGTCAGCAATCTTTTCCTTTTTTATTTGTATCAAAAGCACCTTCAAATAATAACATTCAACACTGAGCAAGTAAAAAGGTATAAAATAGGCCACAGAAATATAAGTGCAGGTAAAAAATAAATAGGTTTAAAACTAATGACATTCACCCAGTATCAGGTCATATCAATAGCATTTTCTCTCACTACCATGAGCTCTTCCTCCATATATGTTGAAAGATCCAGAAGCATCCTTTGATCGGCAATCACTGATGATATATATATCTAAAATTCCCCTAAATTTTGCTTCTGCCCATATAACTGTTATGATATGCTGATACATATTCTTATTTACATTCAAAGTCAAAATTTAAGGAATATTTGAGAGAAATGTAAGAAAATTTGACGAAAAAAATAAAGTAACATTACTTAGCAATCATAATAGTAGCATGGAATGATATGGTCTCTAAGGACAGCCTATTTGCTCTCTAAGGAGAATGCAAGATTATCTGTTCTTGCCTTTTTCCTGGGACTGATGACTAATAACAAGCCCACTGATGTGGTAACTACAGGTAGTACCATTCTGTAAATCTCTGGACTTTTAGGATGGATGGCTAAAAAATATTGCAAACAATTAATTAGTTGACAACATTAGTAATGTCTAGAGAATAATCAATCCCAAAAAGGAAGAATTAACATGGTGACTCCTGTAGGGTTTATAACATAGAACAATGCACCAAAAGTCAACAATAAATCTCCCAGGATTAATTATTATAGTTTTTTAAAAATCTATTTTAGAAATACTTCTATTTTGTATCAAGAAAAGCTCCAGCTTTTCCAGAGTGCAGATTCTCCAAAAGTAATTTGGAGTAAAACATTACTAAATTCTTGGGAAATCTTGAGCAAATCACTTTCTGAACTTTCCCATTTCAGACAGCATTATCTATTCTGAATGTTGAGGTCTGCTTTCATGATATTATTTTCCTTTAGAACATTGAATGACTTCATAGTCTGCTTTATTCCTGGAATATATTCCAGAATTGACATTTAATTAAAAGAAGAAAATCTGGATACAGAAAGAGGAAACCTGACGAGCATTAAAGAATTCATCCTTCTGGGTTTTGGGAATCTCCCAGAGCTGCGACTTCTCTTTTTCTGGCTCATCTTGGTGATTTACGTGATGACAATAACTGGAAATCTCCTTATCTTTCTTCTTGTTGTGGTTGATCAGCAACTTCATACCCCAATGTACTTCTTCCTTGCAAATTTGTCTTTCTTGGACACTTGTTATAGTTCTATCTTGCTGCCCAAAATATTGGCCAACTTGCTAACAGGTGAAGGAACTATTACTGTAAGTGGATGCCTAACCCAATATCATCTCTTTAGCTTTTGTGGAAGTACAGAAACGTATCTTTTGGCTGCCATGTCTTATGATCGCTATTTAGCAATTTGTAGGCCTTTGCTCTATGCTTCTATTATGAATAGGAAATTATGTTTCCAGCTTATGGCTTTGGGATGGATAAGTAGTTTAATATTTAATCTTATTATGGCAGCTTTTATGGATCAGCTATCCTTCTGTGGTTCTAATTTCATAGATCATTACTTTTGTGACTTTCGTCCATTGGAGAAATTGTTATGTACTGATAAAACGCTTTTTGAGCTCTTTGTTTTTTGCATGACCATCCTATTTACAATTCCTCCATTTCTGTTGACCCTCATTTCTTACATTTACATCATTGTTACCATCATCAAAATCAAATCTATCATTGGAAGGCAAAAGGCTTTTTCAACCTGCTCCTCTCATCTCATTGTAGTTTCTCTTTATTATGGCACATTAATCATTGTCTATGTATTTCCAGATACCCTCTCCCTCAGACATCTCAATAAAATATTATCTGTTTTCTATACAGTCATGACTCCTTTGCTCAACCCTCTAATTTATACCTTAAGAAACAAAAATGTTCACAAAGCCTTAAGACGGCTTGGTATTAAAATAATAATTTTGGGTATGTTATCTGAAACTGATAGCTATTAACAGTTAACTAAATAATCACATACGGAATGTTACCATGATAATATGGTATCAATAACAGGCTGTTATTCTGATCATAATATTGGTTGAGGATATGAACTGGAGTCACAATGAGAACAAATTTAATAGTTTTGCTTCAAAGCAGGCCTAGCTCTGACTAACCCTTATTCTTCTCCAGTTGTTTTTGAGCTCATTCTATTATTTCATATTTCTTTTTAGAATATTTTTTTAAAATATGAATTTAATTTAATAAATCATTTCTATTGGAGATCAAGATACATAAATTTCTCTGCCATTGTTTATTAATTATTGTATAATATCAATTTTTGCTGTTTTCAATGTGTTTTCATGGTTTGACTGCCTACATTCATTATATTACCTAAAATAAATGACTTGCTGAGATTATCATAAATAATTGCCCCAAATGTTATTGCTTTTTTATTTTTAAAAATCTCTTTCTGGGACATTTGTGTTTACTATTTATTATTGCTTCTTTAATTGTTGTATCTGTTTAAAATTGCTTGAATCTGAAACTATAAGGAAACTCACTCAATACATATCTTCATTTAAAAGAACCTGTAGATGAACATTTTGGAGATATTTTCAGGCTGCTTATTCATCTCCTTAATTGACATGCTTCCAGTCCACAATTCAATAATATTATGTAAATGTGGGACTTTTGCATGGTCTTGCATTGAACTAAATGATAAAATAAGTGTGACAATATTATTTGTATCATTTTAATTAAACTAAATTAGCTGATAGACATATCCCCTTTGTGCTGATGAGGTGCTGATTCACTGCCTACTGCAAAAATGAAGACAGTCCTTAATCCTTTTGTCTATATTGCAACAATGAAAAAAATTGCTAATAAACTATCAGAAACCAAATCCATGACATTTGTTAAGAAACCTAAAATTAAATTTTAAATGATTAATGATAACAAAATAAAACAGATTGCTTTAATTATTTAATTATTTGGGAATTTCTTTTCATTCATTTTGAGAGACTCACATCTGATGCATGTAGCATAATGGCTTATAGGAATCTATTTTGATTTTCTATTTCTCTAAGGACAAAGAGTACATTTCAGCTGCCTTAAAAGTATTTGAGGCAAAATTAATGGAACATATATTGTTTTTAACTCAATTATGTAATTCCCTAAATTTATATCAAACACGACTGTCTGATTAATACTGGATGATGAATCCAGACCAATACTCAACATCATGATTGTTTTAACACATGGTTTAGGAGGAACAAAGAATTGTCAGTGAAATTTATTTATTTATTTATTAGTTATTACTCCAAATGAGTCTGGGCAGCTGTCAGTATACCAAAATAGTATAACAGAACCATATTCAGGCAAAAAAATATGAAAAGGAAAAGGAAGGAAAAAGGAAAGGAAAGGAAAAAGGAAAGGAAAAAGAAAAGGAGAAGAGAGGGGAGGAGAGGAAAGGACAAATGGAAAGGCAAACCCCCAAACATCTGTTAGCTCCCCTAGGTAGGCAAAATTAAGAAATCAATTTTATAGGAGATTGTCTATAATAACCGAATCTTGCATGTTTGAATATTTTCTACCACCTTGTTTTTTTATAGTTCAGTGAATTATAGCGATGCCAATCTGATCTGCTTCTGAATGTTACTTGGACATTTTGGAGTGAAAAAATACCTTTACCTAGATAATGATGACAGCATTTCTCCATTAAGATAATCTTCTTACATCAATATCCCACCATTCTCATTTATCATTAAACTACTTGTTTAATTGAAGGAAACCAGCTGAAGGAAATCAGCTAAAATTTGCCAGACAGATACCATAAAAAAAACTGGGCTCTACGTCATGCTTTCTGTATCTAACCCATTACTTAAATTGCAAGTTGCAGTACAGCTTCCAAAATATAGGCATGTCCATAGTTAACTGAGTCACTGTTAAGTATTTCAAGTTCTCAGTATTCAGGGCACAATGATTCCAATTTCTAAATAATAAAAGTAAGTATCAAATTAAAAGAAATTATTAAATTAACAGACCTGTTAGCCCATGAAATATTGGGCAGTAAATTTATTCAAGATATGAGATGTCAGCTGCCATGTTCTTCTTCCCCTTTTAATTACAATTATATTTTCTACTTTTTCAAACTATTTTACAACCTTGCAATTGCTGTAAACATGTCCAAGTTTGCTTTCAGGAAGCATGTCACAAGTATGCATTAACAGAGGAGAGGATGAAGATTACATGAAGTGCTAATGGGCGGCGGCTGCTCTTGCTCCTAGTCTGGAGCCTCTTGGTCAACTTGCTTCCGCCTCGTCATCAAGTGTTAGTCAGGTCTGACATTAGCATTCTCTGAGCCCTGATCCTAACCAAAACTCAGTTCCATGTTTTCCTCTGCCAACTCAGACTCACCATCCTCCTCTGAACTTGCATCTAGAGAGGGATCTGGAGGCAGATCCACAACAATGAATGCCTTATGATTTTAAAAAGAATTGACAAAATAACATTGCAAGCAGAACAATCAGTCCTCTAACCAATAAGCTCTGAACATCACAGCAATCCCATCATTAAAGTATTATAAGATCTCCTTTGGAGTTGATAATTGAGTTGCATCAGAAAACCAAAAAAGTGATTAATTCAAGAAAAAGCTTCTTCAGCTCACCTGAGAGTTGAAGAAGCTTCCTGGATGAGAAGTGAAACATCTTCAAAGAAAAAAATGAAGTATGAAATTAAAAGAAATTATTCACTTAATGGACCTGGTAGGTCATGAAATATTGTGCAATAAATTTATTCAAGGTTTGAGTTGTCAGTTGCCTTTTGAAAAAGCATTTTTGGGACTCTGGATTACTTTGTTAACAAAATAAAAGGTTAAGAGGTCTTGAATCCCTCTTTTGAGGTGAATTATGAAAGGAAAAAATGATTAGATGCGCCCTTTTATTTAATCATCCTATATAAAATAATTAATATGTTAAAAACACTTATTAGTTAAGAGGCATCAGTTACAATCCTAAAACAACTAAGCTTATTTTGTAAAAATGAAGTTATAATCCAAATTACGTCCTGAATTAAGGTATACAAAACTAAACAAGCAATCATTGAGTTAATAATATATGTAACCTAAGAAACCTGGCTCAAAACCCTGCTGAATATACTCATATTTGCTTATAAAAAGTGAATATGTATACATTATATCTCTATTTTATCCTAAGTCTCAACATCTCTTATTTGAATGGGGTAATTGTGAGGTATTGTCAGTATACAGGGCAATTTTTGAGATAAAATTCCTAAAGAATATGATATTTGTGATCCAAATCACAAATGTATTTATTTCCATTTCCATCTATAACAAACTATGATTTATATAACCCTTTTTCCCCTTGTTTGCTTTCCTACTTTAAAATCGTGCACCTGATGTATGTAAATTGTGGTTGTGAATTGAAGACTACTTGTATTTTAATAATTTATCAGGATCAGGTCCCAAAGGTGCTTTTTCAGGAAGCAACTGAATCTTCTTGTTTTTTTTTCTTTTTGAAGACATTTTGCTTCTCATCCAAGAAGCTTCTTCAGCTCTGACAGGATAGTGGGGAATGGAAGGATTTATATTCCTTGCAGACAGCTGGTAATCTGCATCCTTTTAGAGGGTTGTTGAAGCACTTGGAAGTTTATCTGTGTCCTCAGGGTCATCTGAGTAGTGATCCTTGCTCATCCAAATCCCACATTTGGGACAACCATGATATGGATGACTGCGAATCTCTAGACTTTTATCTGGACCAGGATTTTAGAAAAAGAGAGTCAATTCAATATAAATATATTTGAAGATTTTTTTTCTTTTTTTCTTTAAAAAGGTAATTACAATCATCTGGAAGTAGCTTCAAGATAACCCAGTAGGAAGAGGTAGAAAGTATAGAACATATAGAGAGGGGGAAAAAACTATAGCTGACAGTACAGGCTACTTTGCATAATCTAGTATCATCTTGCAGATTCTAAGGATTTATTTTCTTGGGGAGGGGACATTATTCTTCCAAAGTATAAATTCCAAACAAAAGAAACAATTCAGGAGGAAATAATCAGTGGTGGGTTCAGTGGTGGGTTTGGCCCAGTTTGGCTGAACTGGTAGTGGTATGATGGCCTGGGTCACTGGAACCAGCAGTGACCCAGGCCTGCCATGCCCCCAAACTGGTTCCCTGGTTGCTGCTGATTATAGATTAAAGCTTTATAGAAAGCTAGATAATCAGCAGCAAGTGATCTCAATGGATCATTTAATTGAAATGCCTGGGGAAGACTCTTGAGAGACATATGTTTATTGTAGAGAATATTAGTGTTAGGTTTAGTGATGGCTGGATATCTATGAGTTTGAAAATTACTTGTAGCAAGTAAGTTTCATAATGACATCAGTCTCTTGTACAAAGCAATATGCATTTATTGGCAGGATCGCCAAGTGTTTCAGTCTTTAAAAGAGACTGATAGTATAGTTCTTGTAATCTATTTCTCCTCACAAGATGGAGCTTCTGGTAGCAAGATTGATAGTTGGACAAAACCTATTGGAAATTTGTTTCCTTCCTATAACAAACATTGTGAAAATTTCATTCATTAGATAAAACAGGAGATACAAAGCAGTCCTGGTGATTCATTTTGGATTAGACCATTGATTCTAAATCGAATAAGGCCACTTTGAATAATAAATTTGGGATTTCTAATTATAACTGATCCAGTGGAGAACCCGATTGCACAGTTTCCTGATTATGGTCTTATTTTTGTATATTTGCTGAACTGAAAGAAAAATGTTAGATGCAAAGAAAGAAAATGAGACAGGCATCACAGAATTTATCTTCTTAGGTTTGGGAAATCCTGGTGAATTACAGCCTTTACTTTTCATGCTTTTCTTGGTGATTTATCTTGTGACAGTAACTGGGAATCTTCTCATCATTGTGTTAGTTGTAGCTGACCAACACCTTCACAGCCCCATGTACTTCTTCCTGGGGAATTTGTCTTGCCTTGAAACCTGTTATTC